TCACTTTCCGTACTTGAGTAAAAGTACAGATACTTGTGTTAAAAAATACTCTGGTAAAAGTGGAAGTACCGATTAAACTTCTTTACTCAAGTAAAAGTAACAAAGTACAGGCTTGTAAATTTACTTAAAGTATAAAAGTAAAAGTAGAAACCACTTTTTTATGCCGTTGCCTACATTTTAAATGGATGTCTGCCAATAGGACTAGATCTCCGTTGTGTTCATTTTCAATCATCTCGTCGTCCATACTACTATGCTAACGCCACCGCCACCAAGCTGCAATGATTTGCCGCCAATGAATACCGCCAAATCTGTCGATTCATCTTGTAGTGGTGCGTCAAATGCAACGTAGATTCCCATCCAATTAGATTGAATTTGGTATTGATGATGTGAAAAATAATAACGGTAACTCCATTGAAATGATTCAAAACTAAAGTAACGAGCCAATTTTCTAAAATGTAAGGAGTAGAAAGTACAGATATTTGTGTAAAAATGTAAGGAGTAGAAGTAAAATGTCGCCATAAAAATAAGTAGTAAAGTAAAAATATCAGAAAAATACAGTAACGAAGTATTTGTACTTCGTTACTTCCCATCTCTGCTTTCATATATATATATATATATATATATATATATATATATATATATATATATTTTTTTTTTTTTTTTTTTTTTTTTCATCAAGAACATCTGCTTACAGAAAACATTTTTGAAAATAGGACAGAAAAAAAAAAAAAAAAGTTGCTCTCCAGTTGCTAAACTTTCTTTTTATTGTAGTGGCAGTGAGTTGTTGTAAAATAGGACAAATTCGTTTTTTTATATTCTGCCATTGAATAATATTAGTTTGGAAGATCTAGAGAGTCTCTAAAAAAAATGCCATTTAAAATTTAAAACAGGAAATCTGAAATCTAGTTTAAAAAGCATTCCCTAATTTCACACTTTAAATTCTATTATTAAAGGGGAATAGGACATTTTGGGTAATAATCTGTTATTAAATACTGCAATTGAAACATTTATTTTCAGATCTTTTTTTCTTAATTGAGATTTAAAAACCAAAATTCATTCATTTGATTATAAATACTTTTCCTTATTTCAAATCCTTATTTTATTTAATTTTTTTATTTTTTGTCATTTCCATGTCATATTTTTCTGAAGCACAATCTCCTGGAGTAGCTCTTGAATATCCCTTTTTTATAGTATTGAGGTCAGTGATATAGACCAGGAATTGCTGGCCATTTATCCACCTGTTGAGGTCACAAGGGCACCAAGATCAGTGAAGGACTGGAAAATCTGGAAAGCATCAAAGTGAAGATAACTTCTGTTGTTTTGTGCCTTACTTACTATTTTAACTGGCATTTAAAATATATATATAAGTACTGGCATCATCTCTTTCTTAGTTTTTGCAATGCACACTCTTCTACAGGTTAGCATCAAATTGAGCCATGTGGATGTAGCAGATAAAGCTCTGCAAAAGTTTGCACTGCACTTTGAGAAGCAATATGATGCTGCCAATGTTTCAATGTATATTTATTAATGCATTTGTAAGCAAGTGTGCACAACTGGAGACCACATCTACATTTCCATTGGAATCATTCAATGGGGTATTACTTAAGTTTATCAATGGAGCAATTCAAATAGTGAAAAGATTCCAGTTGGAAAGTCTCTCAATAAGAGCAGCGACAATGGCCATAGCTAATGACAGCACAATTATGATTTGACACTACAAAGTAGCTCTCGCTTAAGAAACAAATCAAGTGAATTTCTAAATGTTAGAATGTGTTTGGATGTCCAAAGAAAGGTAGCTCATCTGTGTTGCAGAGGATGGCTATTAAACATTTCATGGGAGTGACAGTTTGTTCAGGTTTATTTTATGACCGTTAAATCTATAGCTGTGTTGTTTATCGTTCATATATAACAACAACACTCTAAAAAAGAGAAATAACAATGTTATACAGTTTAAGTGATGGAATAATAATATGTGAAATGAAGCTGGTGGCTTTTACATCTGACAATAGCGTCCGCCTCAAATGGCTTCGGAGTTAAAATGAAAGAGCAAAGGAAGGTTTTGCAGAGATGTTCACCTTAATATATCCTCCACATTCATAAATGAAGTGATTTACACTAACAATGTATTTGCTCTGCATCCATTAAACATAACACCATTAAAGGCAACTAAAAAGTAATGCTCTTAAGGAGCTATTTTTTTTAGATATTGATCCCAAAAAAACTTCCCCTCATCTGTCAATTAAAACCAGCTTGATTTATTATTTGCACAAGGCCTGCTTTTTTCAGACGCAATTTTTTTAAAATATATTTTTCATCATTAATGAAGATTTTTATGTAGCAATCATTTGTAGTGTGCATGATGCCGACTACAAAATGTAGCGACTGCAAAGATTTAAACAACTTACTGTTGCTTAAAATCTGTGCTCCTAACTTGTGTGCACCTATATTTCTAATGTGTGCTTCTGTTTACATAGTTTAAATATCTGTAAGATGTATTGCTACAGCATGAACTCACTAGGAATTACACTGTAAAAGCAGCTGTTTGTCTACTTTTTGAAAAATGTTACGAATGGGCTATCGGTACATTTTTTGATGTACATGTTGACATTCGTTAAGGAAATGTACAAATATTTTACTGAAATACAAGCATGAGTACATTCACTACATAGTTACACTCAAATGTACAGAAGAGGATTAGGGCCACTGGAAAAAAAAAAAAAAAAGTTTACTGATTTTTACATTTTGTTTCAGTTTTATATGGGAAAAAAGACAGAATTCTGAGATTAAAGTCAGAATTCTGACTAATCTACGAATTCTGACTTTAACCTCAGAATTCTGACTTTAATCTAAGAATTCTGACTTTAATCTTAGAATTCTGACTTTAATCTAAGAATTCTGACTTTAATCTTAGAATTCTGACAGCGAACAAACATGTTAGCATCAAGCTGTAGCCATGTATGTTTTAGAGACTAGCTCTCTTGTATTAATCACCTTCTTTTCTGCTATTAATTAAAAAGCATCACCGGGGACGCCTCAGGCACTTAAAAAGTTGCCTAATTCCGTCATTTTCCACCAATGTGTCACTGGACCTTCCTAACAACTCACACTCACATCAGTGAAGCTGAGTGCTCCCACATCTCTTCCTTCATGGTGCCCGTCTACTTAAGATCCAAAATTCTTTGATTAAGTTCAGAATTCTGAGAAAAAAAAGTCAGAATTCTGAGAAAAAAAGTCATAATTTTTAAAATATATTAAAAAATCAGTTTACTTTTTTTTAGTGGCCCTAATCCTCTTCCATGCAAATTTAATTGAAATCATCATAAAATTTCTGCACTTTTCCAGTAAGCTTTAATGAAATTGTTGTAAAGTTCATTTTGAGCATACATTTGAAAATATACACAAAAATTGTTTCACAACAATCATTCAATTGTACATTTTAGAAATTACATTTAATTTTTACTTAAACTATACTTTAATAAAATATCTTAAAAGTGTGGTGCACTGCAATATTTTAAAGGTGTTAAAAGTTGTAATGAAAAATTTGGTACAAACATGATCTTACTATAATATTCATATATTTAGAGACAGTACATTTTCTTCTTAGTATATATAAAATGATAATTCGATGTGAATATGTTTGGAATATAATAAAGTATATTTATTTTTCACCTTTCCATGGCTGCACGGTTATGCAGTGGCACTGAGTGACCAGCAGTTGGGGCTAATTTAGAGCACCCCCACCTTTAAACACCACTTTTAACACCAAAGTCTCTTTCTTTGGTAAAACAAAACTGTAGGGATGCATTCAGGGGGTGCTGAAGTACAACATAATTGCACAAGATGAGCATAGGGAGCTGCTACAGGCTGCACTGTAAAACTAAAACAATACAAAAAAGCTCTGAGGCAGGGAAAATCACTTCATTTACAGCATTCCAACCACCCAGCATCTCTCTAAAGCTGCATCCAAGTCATACTCCATTTAATGTGTTTAGCTGTAGATTCTGCTGCATTCATGCATTTGTCTGATGGAAATGGTCCCCAAAATCTATTTAATAAACTCAAAATGAACTGATGTCAACAGTTTAAAGAACACGTTATATGCATCTAATTAGACACAGATACAAAAAGGCTGCATTGCAAATAAGAGGTTTCAAATCATGAGAGGATGAGAAAAAGTTGAAAGAAATCTACTTAGCAGGAATCAAGCAAGTTAAAGGTCAGAAAAAAACATCATTAAAAGCTCTGGCACTAAAGAAGAGAAGTCTGTGCAGCCCTGTGGTCGGTGGCCAAGAAGATTAGGAAAGAATTAGCTCATAAAACTTCAAATAAACACCTTTCAGCGAGAAAAAGCTTCCAAACACAGCCAGATCCGAGCAAATGCAATTAAAGATCCAGAACATAATATAGCCTAATGTGCAAAATAAATAACTTTATTAAATGTAACCACTTCACAGTGTAATTCAGGCGTGCAAGATTATACATTTGGCTCTGCATCAAATAATCTATGCAACTTTATAGTAGAGACCATGTGCGCATATTTGCATTAGAAAGAGCCATAAGTTTTAATAAGCGCATAAATAGATGTGCAGGGCTGCTGCTGCTATTGCGAAATGCGCACACACTGAAAAAAAAACCTTGATCGGTTAAAGTTTACAAACTTTCCAAAGCGCGCTGCGAGCTGTTCCCTAAAACTTCTCTTTGAGCGCAAAACGAGCGGAAATTGCGCACAAATTTAGTCCGGTTATAAAGCAAAAACATCTTGCAAGAGCATGTTTTCCCTGTGAATGAATTCCAGAAGATAGGAGCCATCTTGTGACCGCATATGCTTGGAGGATTTAGTGCCATCCTCACACACACAGCGCGCGCGCACACACCATATCCCCACAACATCCGTGGAAAAAAGTTTTATAGCGCGCAACTTGGGGGTAAATTACAGCCCGGATCTGCTGATCGCCCTTAGAATAATAATAATAATAATAAATAATAATAATCAGACGTACTTGAACGATCTCCCCCTCCGCGCTGATTGTGGCTCCAGCTTTGGAGAAGCGTCCCTGCAGCCCGGTCGTGTAGGTGGTATAATCCCCAGTGGAACTGGACTCGAACAGCACCACTTCCACAAAGGCTGTATCCTTGGCCAGAACGGCGCCCAGAGAAGCGGCCAGCAGCCAGATCAGCAGGACCACCGGGTCCGGCGCCCGATCCGAGCCTCTCCTTCGGAAAATCATCATCTTGCCGGCTGGATCAGCGCCGATCGGGACATAATTTCACACGGATTAATTAATCGGGTGAAGGTAATTGGGATCAGGTGTAGTCGCGCTGCGGGCGATGCCTCAGTAAAGGAGTCGGGGTTGTGCAATAAAAGCTGCGCCCCTGAGCCGAAGCGTGTTTATTTCACCACTGCGAGCCTTGTCAATTACATTGCCTCAAACGCTGCCTCGCTTTCACCCTCCCTCTTTCTTTCTCACCCTCCTCCTCCTCCTCCTCTACAAAGCGGATCTCCTTTGATCTCCAAACACGTGATTTTTTTTCTATTTTTTTTTTTTTTTAGTTTTTTTTTTTTTTTTATATCCCCACCCACCAGTCTTTCTGACCCTCTCATTTGCACTCCCCACTCTGAAGTGCCAGCACTCGGTTTAAGGAAGCACCGTGGACTTTCTGCTCCCCATGAAAGGGGGGGCTTTATTGTTTGAAAAAACTTCCAGTTACACGATAACTTTCGACTTAATTGAGTTTTACGAGTTGACGTGAAGTACATCTCACGTCTCGGTTCCACGCGTCCACCTCGGTGCTCTCTCCAGAGTTTTACTTGTTTTCCAGCCACCGCGCCACCTTAAAATAAACACTACCCTCTTCAGGACGCTTCATGATTTACCAGGGCTCACATAAATGTTTGCTTAGTATAACAAGTGCATAACAAATTTGTACTTGCTGAAACAAAGTAATTAAATAAATTTTTTTATTAACACAAAACTGATTAAACTTAATTCTATTGTAGCATTAGGGGCGGTTCTAGACAGGTGCGTAGCTAGATGGGGGGCCAGGGGTGGCCATGGCCACCCTTAGCAAAAAACACATGTGTGTAGGATTGCCTTCGACTGTTCTAGTTAAACAGTTTAACTGAAACATCATTGTTCAACTTTTTTATTTTCTTTAGTCCAACTGTTTTTAATGTTCTTTTTTGTTTCTGCATTTTTTATTTTATCTT